GCCTGGAGAAACCCAGGGATGGGGGAGCCTGGTGGGCTGCCGTCTATGGGGTAGCACAGAGTCGGGCATGATTGAAGCGACTTAGCAGCAGCAGCAGGTTCGTCATAGCTATTCTTCCAAGGAGCTAACGTCTTTTAATTTCATGGCTTCGGTCACCATCAACAGTGATTTTGGAGCCCAGGAAAATATAATCTGTCGCTGTTTCCTCTTTTTCCCCATCTATTTGCCATGAAGTGACGGGACCAGATGCCATGATCTTAGTTTTTAATATTGACTTTTAAGCCAACTTTTTTCACACTCTTTCACCTTCATCAAGAGGCTCTTTAGTTCCTCTTCACTTTCTGCTACTGGGTGGTGTTACGTGCATATCTGAGGTTATTGATATTTTTTGATTCCAGCTTGTGAGTCTTTCAGCCAGGCATTTTGCATCATGTACTTGGCCTAGGAGTTAAATAAGCAAAGTGACAGTATACAGCCTTGACATACTGCTTCCCTAGTTTTGAACCAGTCCATTGTTCCATGTAAGATTCTAACTGTTGCTTCTTATCCTGATTACAGGTTTCTCAGGAGAAAGATAAGGTGGTCTGGTATTCTCATCTCTTGAAGAATTTTTCAGTTTGTTGTGATCCACACAGTCAGAGGCTTTAGCATAGTCAGTAAAGCAGAAATATGTTTTTTTGAATTTCCTTGCTTTTTCTATGATCCAGTAGATGTTGGCAGTTTGATCTCTGGTTCCTGTATCTTTTCTAAATCCAGCTTGTACATCTAGAAGTTCACATACTGCTGAAGCCTAGCTTGAAGGGTTTTGAGTATAATCTTGTGCGTGTGTGAAATGAGTGCAATTGTATGGTTTTGAACATTCTTTGCCTTTCTTTGGGATTGGAATGAAAACTGACCTTTTCCAGTCCTGTGGCCACTGCTGAGTTTTCCAAATTTGCTGGCATATTGAGTGCAATACTTTAACAGCATCATTTTTTAGGATTTTAAAGTAACTCAGCTGGAATTCCATCACCTCTACTAGCTTTGTTTATAGTAATGCTTCCTAAGGCCCCCTTTTCTTCACAGTCCAGGATGTCTGGCTCTAGATGCGTGACCACACCATCGTGGTTATCTGGGTCATTAAAACCTTTTTTGTACAGTTCTTCTGTGTATTCTTTCCACCTCTTTATCTTCTGCTTCTGTTAGGACCCTGTCGTTTCTGTCCTTTATTGTGCCATCTTTGCATGAAATGTTCCCTTGGTATCTCTAGTTTTCTTGAAGAGATCTCTAGTCTTTCCCACTCTATTGTTTTCCTCTATTCGCATTGATCACTGAGGAAAGCTTTCTTATGTCCTTGCTATTCTCCGGAACTCTTCATTCAGTTGGGTAAATCTTTCCTTTTCTCCTTTGCCTTTCGCTTCTCTTCTTTTCTCAGCTGTTTGTAAGACCTCCTCTGACAATCACTTTACCTTTTTGCATTTCTTTTTCTTGGGTATGGTTTTGCTCACCATCTCCTGTACAATGTTACCAACCTCCATCCATAGTTCTTCAGGCACTCTGTCTACAAGATCTGATCTTTCAAATCTATTTGACATTTCCACTGTATAATCATAAGGGATTTGATTTAGGTCATACCTGAATGGCCTAGTGGTTTTCCCTACTTCAATTTGAGTCTGAATTTTGCAATAAGGAGTTGATGACCAGAGCCACCAGGTCTTGTTATTGTTGACTACATAGAAGGTCTCCATCTTCAGCTGCAGAGAATATAATCAGTCTCATGTGGTATTGATATCTGGTGATGTCCATGTGTAGAATTGTCTCTTGTGTTGTTGGAAGAGGGTTTTGCTATGACCAGTGTGTTCTCTTGGCAAAACTCTTGTTAGCCATTGCCTTGCTTCAATTTGTACTCCAAGGTCAAATTTGCCTCTTAGCAGTTTTTAAAAAGTTACCACAGTGCCTTTCGACTACCATTAACAGCTTCTTAATAGTATCTAAAACCTAGTACATAATTCAGAATTTCTTGATTGTTTAGGAAGAAATGACACTTTTGCAGATGGCCTTTTTGAAACAAGACTTGAACAAGGTCCATCCATTGTATTAGGGTAATGTTTTTTTAAGTGTTTGTGAACAGTCTTCCACTTTAGCAGTAACGGTGCACCCAACGTACTATAGAATTTCCTACATTCTGGATTTGGCTGATTGCCTGCTTTTAATGTTGTTTCTTCTATCCTCAATTTTTTTCCTACTACAAATAAGTAGTAGTTAGATCTAGAAGCTTGATTAGATTTGGACTTGAGGGCAGGGGGTCAAGAATGCTTCATAGGAAGTACTGGCTGCTTTCCTTTCCTTCACACAGAAAGCACCTGATGTCTGAATGCCTCTCCCTCTTCTTCGAGATAAGATTGGTCAATGGGTTAAGTGCCATAAGCCTGCTCAATGTGTTTAAAAGTTTCCCTTTTCCCCAACCTTACACTTAAATGATTTTAGCATCTGTTAATGATTTTTGTGAAGATGATATTTAACCCAGAGACTGGAAATTTTAGGATGAGTCAGTCTGGTACAGAACTCAGTGTTCAAAATGAAGGACCAGTGTGCGCAAAGGCCCTGTTTTAGAAACAGAACAGGTCAGTGTGGACAAGGTGCATGGAGTGAGGGGTGGAGCAGTGCAAGTCTTGGAAAGACTGGAAAGGTGCTGAGGGCCTGGGCTAGTTTTAGAACAGTCCCAAGCAGTCGAGTGGGGTCTGGCAGGGCAGGATTGTTTGTTTTTTTAATCCTTCTGGCTGTAGTGTGGAGTTTGAATTGAAGTGGGGTTAGAGAGATAGTTACGGATCTACTGCAGTGACACAGGCAAGAAATATTTTTTGATGTGGGGAATTGGTCATGGAAATGAAGAGAAGGGGTGGTTTTGAAAGATTTTTAAGAGTTAAAATCCATAAAGTTTGATGTGATAATGGAGAAAGAGGTCAAGAGCAAGATGATGACTGAACTTTCTGTTTTGAGAAGTGAAAATGAAAGTTGCTCAGTTGTGTCCGACTTTTTGCAGCCCCATGGACTATACAGTCCATGGAATTCTCCAGGCCAGAATACTGGAGTGGGTAGCCTTTCCCTTCTCCAGGGGATCTTCCCAACCCAGAGATCGAACCCAGGTCTCCTGTATTGCAGGCGACTTGTTTATCAGCTGAGCTGCGAGGGAAACCCCTGTTTTGAGAAACTGAATGTAAAATGATAAGCTTTAATCTTGGACAAGTTATTTGACTTCTTTAAGCCTCAGAAATAGAAGAAAACAATAGAATGGGAAACACTAGATATCTCTTCAAGAAAATTAGAGATACCAAGGGAACATTTCATGCAAAGATGGGCTCAATAAAGGACAGAAATGGTAGGGACCTAACAGAAGCAGAAGATATTAAGAAGAGGTGGCAAGAATACAGAGACGAACCGTACAAAAAAGATCTTCACAACCCAGATAATCACGATCACTCACCTAGAGCCAGACATCCTGGAATGTGAAGTCAAGTGGGCCTTAGGAACCATCACTACGAACAAAGCTAGTGGAGGTGATGGAATTCCAGTTGAGCTATTTCAAATCCTAAAAGATGATGCTGTGAAAGTGCTGCACTCAATATGCCAGCAAATTTGGAAAACTCAGCAGTGGCCACAGGACTGGAAAAGGTCAGTTTTCATTCCAATCCCAAAGAAAGGCAATCCCAAAGAATGCTCAAACTACCGCACAATTGCACTCATCTCACACGCTAGTAAAGTAATGCTCAAAATTCTCCAAGCCAGGCTTCAGCAATACGTGAACCGTGAACTTCCAGATGTTCAAGCTGGTTTTAGAAAAGGCAGAGGAACCAGAGATCAAATTGCCAACATCCGCTGGATCATCGAAAAAGCAAGAGAGTTCCAGAAAAACATCTATTTCTGCTTTATTGACTATGCCAAAGCCTTTGACTGTGTGGATCACAATAAACTGTGGAAAATTCTGAAAGAGATGGGAATACCAGACCACCTGACCTGCCTCTTGAGAAACCTGTATGCAGGTCAGGAAGCAACAGTTAGAACTGGACATGGAACAACAGACTGGTTCCAAATAGGAAAAGGAGTATGTCAAGGCTGTATATTGTCACCCTGCTTATTTAACTTATATGCAGAGTACATCATGAGAAACGCTGGGCTGGAAGAAGCACAAGCTGGAATCAAGATTGCCGGGAGAAATATCAATAACCTCAGATATGCAGATGACACCACCCTTATGGCAGAAAGTGAAGAAGAACTAAAGAGCCTCTTGATGAAAGTGAAAGAGGAGAGTGAAAAAGTTGGCTTAAAGCTCAACATTCAGAAAACTAAGATCATGGCATCTGGTCCCATCACTTCATGGGAAATAGATGGGGAAACAGTGGAAACAGTGTCAGACTTTATTTTTTTGGGCTCCAAAATCACTGCAGATGGTGATTGCAGCCATGAAATTAAAAGACACTTACTCCTTGGAAGGAAAGTTATGACCAACCTAGACAGCATATTAAAAAGCAGAGACATTGCTTTGTCAACAAAGGTCCGTCTAGTCAAGGCTATGGTTTTTCCAGTGATCAGGTATGGACGTAAGAGTTGGACTATAAAGAAAGCTGAGTGCTGAAGAATTGATACTTTTGAACTGTGTTGTTGGAGAAGACTCTTGACTGCAAGAAGATCCAACTAGTCCATCCTAAAGGAGATCAGTCCTGGGTGTTCGTTGGAAGGACTGATGTTGAAGCTGAAACTCCAATATTTGGCCACCTGATGCAAAGAACTGTCTCATTTGAAAAGACCCTGATGCTGGGAAGGATTGAGGGCAGGAGGAGAGGGGGACCACAGAGGATGAGATGGTTGGGTGGCATCACCGACTCAATGGACATGGGTTTAGGTAGACTCCAGGAGTTGGTGATGGACAGGGAGGCCTGGCGTGCTGTGGTTCATGGGGTCGCAAAGAGTCGGACACGACTGAGTGACTGAACTGAACTGAAGTCTCAGTTTTCTCTTTTAAGGAGCAAGTAACATACCTAACTCTGTTGCACTCAAAAGAGATTCCAGGTGGGAAAGGAAAAAGATCTTGCTTTGGGTTCAAAGCCCATCAGCTGAAGTCATTTCTCATATATGTCCTTGAATGGTGCCATTGCTCAAGGTATTTTTCTCTTCTATTCTTTCCAGTATTCTCCCATTTTAAAATCCTTCCACTGCTGTCTATTCCCTCTCATTCCTCCTCTTTGTAGTCAAAAGTAATTTGTCCTGCTCACAACTTCTCTGGCCCTTAAATCAGTATCTTATTTTTATTTTTTTTAACTGAGGCTCTTTTATAATTCATGATTTCAGTTAACTCATGTATGACAAACAATATGTAGTGAAAGCAATATAATAGAAAGTGATAGAGAGTGAGATTTCATAATCAACTGCTACATGCTGTTATGGATCTAAGCACTTTGTAAACTCGAGTTTTGTTTTGTTTTTAATAATAATTATCAAAGATATAATTGTACAATATTGAGACATATAGAACAAAATACAATTGGACAGTTGCTCTACAATATTGTGTTGGCCTCTACCATATGTCCTATCCCTCCTGAACCCTCCTCCTGTCTCCCTCTCCAGTATCTTTTTAATGGCACAACACTTTCTGCCAGATGTTAAACCCTTATTGAGGCTTAAATTCTTCAGAACTGCCAAGTAGTCAAGTCCTGTTCCTGCTAAGTTGCTCAACTAGCCTGACTGCTGACTCTGTTCTCCCAAGTTGTCTCTAGAGGTACTATAAAAGGAAAAGACTGAGAAACAAGTGGGTGATGTGAGCTTTTTTGAGTTGTCAGGTGGGTGGGGGTAGGGGGTGGCTGGGTGTTTGGCCTTAGACAGGAGTCAGCCAGGCGTGGCTGTAGGAGAATAAAACCAGGGGAGAAGAGAAAAATTGGAATGTTGCCCTAGTTTCTTCCCTGCCTCATTACCTTGGAATTACCTTTTTCCACACTTGCTGTGACTCAGCTCTGGTCTAGCTCTCCTCAGAAGTAAATCAGGGCATAACAGAAGCCTCTACTTGGGAGGGATTGAGAAAAAAAAGTGGTGACTGAGTTTAGACAGTTCATTCTCTGTCCTTTACCTCCTTATTTCTTGTTGTTCAGTTGCCTAGTCCTTTCCAACCCTTTGCAACCCCATAGACTGCAACATGCCAGGCCTCCCTGTTCCTCACCATCTCACAAAGTTTGCCCAAGTTCATGTCCATTGCATCAGTGATGCCATCCAGCCATCTCATCTTCTGATGCCCTCTTCTCCTGCCCTCAGTCTTTCCTAGCATGAGGAACTTTTCCAGTGAGCTGGCTGTTTGCATCAGATGACCAAAATACTGGAGCTTTAGTTTCAGCATCAGTCCTTCCGACGAGTATTTAGGGTTGATTTCCCTTAAGATTGACTGATTTGATCTCCTTGCTGTCCAAGGGACTCTCAGGAGTCTTCTCCAGCACCACAGTTCAAAGGCATCAGTCTTTGGTGTTCTGCCTTCTTTACTGTCCAGCTCTCACAACTGTACATGCCCACTGGGAAGACCATAGCCTTGACTGTGTGAACGTTTGTCGGCAGAGTAAAATCTCTGCTTTTCAACACACTCTCTAGGTTTGTCATAGCTTTCCTGCCAAGGAGCAAACGTCTTCTCATCTCATGGCTGCAGTCACCATCTGCCATGATTTTGGAGCCCAAGAAGAGAAAATCTGTCACTACTTCCACCTTTTCCCCTTCTATTTGCCGTAAAGTGATGGGGCCAGATGCTATGATCTTAGTTTTTTAATATTTAGTTTTAAGCTGGCTCTTTCACTCTCCTCCTTCACCCTCGTCAAGAGGTTCTTTAGTGCCTCTTCGCTTTCTGCCATTAGAGTGCTGTCATCTGCATATCTGAGGTTGTTTTTGTTTTTCCTGCCTATCTTGATTCCAGCTTGTAACTCTTCCAGCATAGCATTTCTCATGATGTGCTCAGTGTATAGGTTAAACAAATAGAGTGACAGCAGACAACCCTGTTGTACTCCTTTCACAATTTTGAACCAGTCAGTTGTTCCATACAGGATTCTAACTTGCTTCTTGACCCTCATACAGGTTTCTCAGGAGACAGGTAAAATGGTCTGGTATTTCCATCTCTTTAACAGTTTTCCACAGTTTGTTATGATCCACACAGTCAAAGGCTTTAGTGTAGTTGATGAAACAGAGGTAGACGTTTTTCTGCAGTTCCCTTACTTTCTCTATGATCCAGCGAATGTTGGCAATTTGATCTCTGGTTCCTCTTCCTTTTCTAAACCCAGCTTGGACGTCTGGAAGTTCTTGGTTCGCATAATGCTGAAGGTTAGCATGCAAGACTTTAAGCATGACCTCACTAGCATGAGAGATGAGTGCAGTTGTCCGATGGTCAGCCATTCTTTAGGACTACCTTCCTGGGAATTGGGATGGGGACTGACCTTTTCCAGTCCTGTGGCCACTGCTAAGTCTTCCAGATTTGCTGATGTATTGAATGCAGCACCTTGATGGCATTATCCTTTAGGGTTTTGAATAGCTCTATTGGAATTGAATTGCATTGGAATCTAGTTGCATCCACTAGCTTTATTAACAGCAGTGCTTAATTCTTAGGTCTCCCCAAATCCCTATCATAATGTTGTATCTCTCTGGGGAACAAAAGATGACTCCTTGGTTGAGCAGTGATTGTATGGGGTGGAGAGTAATTGTGGTTTTCTGGTGCTTGGGATTTCCTGCTTTAGTGCTTATTTCCTACCTTACTCAGCTTACTGTGACTGATATTGAATGGAATTTGGTCTTCTCTCTAATGCTTCACCTATTAGAATAGCTACTGTCCTCTAGGGAAAAAAGAATGTTGAAGAGCACAGGTATTTCAAGAGGAGAACAATGTATAGGCTTCTTTGGAACAGAAATAATAGAAGAGATAGATCAAGGGTTTAAAGTTAGATAATCAGTCTGAAAGAAATAGGGTTGATATTAGCAACTTGAAACAAGAATAAGCAGAGGCTGAGAGAACCAAGCAGAAATAGCAGGCTTAAAAATACAGTGGTTGAAACATGGAACAGCGCATCAAATGGGTGGAATAATGGAATGGATACAGTTGGATGAATTAGAATTCTAGAGTGAGGAGATCTCCCAGAACAAAGGGGAAAAATACAAATATATATATTTGGCTAAAAGATAAGGAGAATAGATATAGAGATATATGTGAATAATAGACCTCTTAGAGAAAAAAAATGAAAAGGAGGAAGTATTGAAGAAATAATGGAAAAAATAGTTCTCTTAAAATTACAAAGGAAAAACAAAGTCCCTAGATGGAAAGGTTTCTTAGAGTGGTAAATATGAGAGGTCCAGAAAAACTCATTTCTTGGGCTCCCCAGATGGCTCAGTGGTTAAGAATCCGCCTGCAATGCAAGAGATGCGGGTTTGATCCCTAAGTTGGGAAGATCTCCTGGAGAAGGAAAGGGCAACCCACTCTGGTATTCTTGCCTGGGACATCCCATGGGCAGAGGAGCCTGGCAGGTCCAGCCATGGGGTCGCCAGGAGTTGGACATGACTTAGCTACTAAACAACACCAGGAGCATTATAGTGAAATTTAAGAGTATAACAGCTAAAGAAAATTGTAGGAGCCTCAGAGAGGAAGAACAGATCACACATACAAAGAAGCAAAACTTGAATTGACGTTAACGTTTTGAACAGCATCTATAAATGGAAAAAGACAAGAGTTTTTTCAGGGTTTTATAGGGAAACTAGAGTTTTATTCCTAACCAGATTTAAATAGAAGGGCATGATACAGGTATATTCAGGTATATAAAGTATTGGAAGCCTTGCCACCTAAAGACCCACATTGATAACAGTTCTAGATAAGTACTGAGTGATGCAAATCCAGAAAATGTTACAGGAGATACATGAAGTAAAGGTAATTAGATATCTTGGTGTCATTTATTGTGGTAAAGGCTAAAGCAAAAGAAAAAAGGGAGAAGAGAGTGGGAGAGGGAAGGAGAAAAGGAAAAATCAAGAGAGAGAAAAATAGTTCTGTTACAGAATTTAAAGTCCAAATGATACTGTGCTTAAGTTCATATCTTACTAGCAGGAAGACAGAGATGTAGTTTCAAGAAAGGTAATAACATGTTAAAAGGAAGAATAGAACAAATTGCAATGCTGAATTAAGATGGTAGAGACAGATTTATATTTATCTATTACAGTAAATAGACTTGATTCACCAGTTAAAGATAAAAATCATGACATAGTGATAATCACTATATATTAAGAATGCACCAAGAGATATAGCAGTTTAAAGTGTGAGTGCCTCAGGTTAAAAATCCTTAAAATAGGACTCCCCTGGTGATCCACTGCTTAAGAATCTGCTTGCCAATGCAGGGGACCCGGGTTCAACCCTTGGTCCTAGAAGTTTCCACATGCGGCAGGGCAACTAAACCTGTGCACCAGAACTGCTGAGCGCATGCTCTAGAGCCTGAGAGCTGCAGCTGCTGAAGCCTGCACGCCTAGAGCTTGTGCTCTGCAACAAGAGAAGCCAGTGCAGTGAGAAGGGAAATGGGCATCACAGCAAAGAAGAGAAAGCCCACACACAGTAAAGAAGACCCAGCACGGCAGAGAAAACCCAGCGTGGCCAAAAAAGTAAAGTAAATAATTTTTTAAAATCCTTGCAGTAGGTGAAGTGAAATTGTTAGAACTACCCTGGGATCAGTGGACAAATTCACCATCATGGTGGGAGAATTCATTTTATGTCTCTTAATCGTAGGTCAAACCTAGACAGTGTGTTGAAAAGCAGACACATCACCTTGCCAACAGAGGTCCGTTTACTCAAGGCTGTCTATGGTCTTTTCAGTAGTCATGGATAAATGTGAGAGTTGGACTTTGAAGAAGGTTTAGCACTGAAGAATTGATGCTTCTGAACTGTGGTGCCAGAGAAGACTCTTGAGACTCCCTTGGACAGCAAGGAAATCAAACCAGTCAATCTTAAAGGAAATCAACCCTGAATATTCATTGGTGCTGAAGCTGAAGCTCCAATACTTTGGTCCCTTGATGTGAAGAGCCAACTCGTTGGAAAAGACCCTGATGCTGGGAAAGATTGAAGGCGGGAGAGAAAGGGGGTGACAGAGGATGAGGTGGTTGGATGGCATC